TTATATCTGTTTACAATTTTACAGCTCAATAGCGTGCTTCGTTTGGAATCCAGAGCATTTTGAATTTCAGGGTTATGGAGGTCCGTGACACAAGGCTACGATCGAGTTTGTCGAAAAATATATACTTATCTCATGATTTTGAGCCTTTTTAGAAGTTAGAGCATTAGGAAAAGTGCTTATGTAAATGCTTGTTTGATCACTGCTGATAATCAGTCGCCTAGATAGCCAGAGTAAGTTCCAGATGTTTACACTATTTTCCGGCCGCCATATTGGTGTACCACGGAGGTACACCAACATGGCGTTTTCATACTGGGCTCTGTAAATATCTACGAAACATTTCGACGAATATCTGAAGTTTGGGGAAACCCACAGGCCTAAAACTTGGAGAAGTGTCTTACTTAGTTACCTTCTATAACATCATAATTTCATAGCTTTTTCTACTGGATGGTTTCTGATTTATTCCTTTTACTGCGTGACAGTGAAAACGATCTATAGAACCACTTCAGTTATCAGTTCTCCACAGTCCACTAAAAATTTGACCGAGGGTGATTCATGCAGATTTGATTCGGACTCTGGACCTTAGCCGTTTACGTATACCTGTATAAATCTGAAATATACATAAGAAAAATGAGCCTTTATTTAACAGCAATTAAATTGAAATGTTGAGTTAGCTAACTTCATTTAAGTACTGTTGGATGTATATTTAACATTACTGCTTAACTTGAAGTATTAATTAAGATAAGACATGTAAATATTAGTACTTGTGATCACCACAGTCGCTACACCACAGTCACTATTTACGTCGCCAGTCGCCACGATATAACTCCCAAGACAGTGCACAGTCCATACAATGTTATCCTTCTTTTTCCGATCCCCGAGAAGCTAGATTTTGGAAGAGAACAAAACTACATATACACAAGGTACAAGAAGCAGAGGGACTGGCAATAGCTACCCGTGCCCCTCATGTACGAGTAGTGTTATACCCGCTGCACTGGTTTCCCCCCTTTTCTCAATGATGGGACTGGGCGAAACTATACAGTGATTAACCGGCAGTTACCGTCACGTACATGCTCGTACGTACGCACCGGTTTGACCTTTTTCTAGACGATTCTATCACTTATGCTTATGTATAATTAATGTGAAATAAACTTAAAAGAAAATTGGTCATTCCTACATTGTATTTTAAATTTTTCCGGTTTTTAAATTTTTCGGTATATTTCACAATCAGCTGGTGAGTCCACATCTAGGGGTGGTGAGTGACAAATGCGAGACTACGCAAGAAGGCGAGACTAGCGTTTTCCTTTGCGAGCCCGAGACATAATTGACTTTTTAAATTTCAAGATCGAGATATTAAAGTGTTTTAAATGTGACCGCGAGCCGTAAGACATTCAGACTCAAAGACGGTCAGAGGTCATTTGCAAATACAAATAAATAAATCGGGACTTTGAGACTTTCGTCAATTTTGCAAAAAATCGTAACTCCCAGACAGCATTGTGAAAAAATAGAAACATAACCGATCATAACCGCTCAAAAACCGAGACTGCGAGACCGGTAAAATTACACGAAAATTTTGTTCAAAACAATAATGGTTTCAGTTTGAAGTAGCATTCCCCAACCCTACATCTTCAAGCACTACAGTATAACAATTAAAGGTCATGGAAGTCAGAACATTCTCTAATATACAAATCAATTTCTCCCAAATAGTATTGCGTGGAATGTTAGGAGACCTGTGAGGGAGATAATTATGTTGAAATCGGGACCTGACGAGCGTTTGGTTGCTCCATTGTCGTCTTTTCCATTTCCGGAACTGAAAGCGGAAATCATCTGATCCAAAGCGTCCAGAACTTCCTTAGTGGTAGGCTCACCATCATAGCATTTTCCATCAATTGTCGTCTCTTCTAGTACATCAGGCACATCTGCGACTAAAAACCCTCCTTTTGCCAAAAAGAAGCCCTGAAGATCACATATTTGGCGGTATTCGTTCTTCGTCGGGTTGACCGTCATGTATGCTTTGATTTTCGAAAGATCAGCAGCTGTTGTTGTTAATCCCGCTTTGGAGGTGAAATTTTCGACATCAGCAATCAGCTGTTCAACTGTGTTGTTAGAAATGTGATCGCGAACTTGCTTGAATGTTGCCTCGTCTTTAGCCAGCCATTTCTCTAAAAAGCCACTACATTCTATGCTCGAGTCCTTTCCACACTTCACGCCATCGATTGGGGGAAGAGAAATCGTCACTGTCCTGATGCCGCCTTCCTTCTTAACTTTCTCTATATTGGTGACCTCTTCGTTGATGACTGTGCTGCAATTTTTTTCTCCTAGTTCAGACTCCTTGCACACCAGAAAACCAACAGTCGGTACATCTTTGACACGACAGGCAATTTTGTCCTCTCCCGAATTCATCTCAGCGCAAAATGTATTGTAGTCAATGTTAGGCTTCGCTTGATCAATTTTCGCACGAGCATCTGCGAAGTCATCTGCAAGTGCCATCGTTGCGAAGGTGAGCCAGAAAAGAGCGACCAAGGCGAAATAACGCTTGTGTAATTCGATCATGGCCTATCAGGTAGGGATATAATGCGAATATACTCGGGTAAGTAGGAAGTACGCTTTTATAAAGCCAATACCTACATGCAATTATTCCATCTGCCAAGCTTGGTGTTGAAACGTCTGGGCTACTCTTAGTAGCATTTAGTCTACTCGGCTTCCACCGTGATTTACCGTTTCTCATTTCAAATATTTGGTCTTTACCTAGTTTTATTGATATTTAGGTGGGATCCTTAAATCAAATGATTTTAGTAGCTCAGAATGATTTAGAGGCAATGCTTGCGATTGCCTCGCTGCGTAATCAGTATGGTCATAACAAAAAAATTATGAGGAAAATTTAATCATTTTGTATCAATTGTATTGAGTCGAGATTACGAAGAAAACAAATACAATTAAAAGTGTCTTTGTGCAGGCAGGTCGAAGAGTGGACAGTTTGAATGGTTGATCTAGATCCCTCAAATACTTTGGAAACCGGGAGAAATACTCAACGATATTTCGGAATTACAACTAATTTTGTAATACTTAGTTACAGGGGACCACAGAGGACTCAAACAGTAAGAACTGCAATCAGAAAGAAATATGACTTACATTGACAGCATTGACCGCTACTAGCCTCGGTGATCGGACTAACAACAGCTTTTGAATTTGGGTGTCCCAAGTTATTCAGAAACGTTTAATCGACAAATGACTTAATAGCATTGGAATGTTCTTCCTGTTTTGAATTTGTTTTTATTGAAAACAGGAAATTACACTGAAATAGCATCTCTTAGATGACCTGACCTCGCCTGAGGCAGTAATGGTATTGTTTACAAGGAACAAATTGGAATAGAGCTTCCAAAGAGATGGAGATCATTAACGCTCTTATTCTTCGGCCATTTTAATTGTGCTGATTTTAACGTAGGAATGCTATAAGTGGTTTGTCACCATTCCCGAGAAATTCAATTGACAAAGATCCTGGCAGCCATGTTGCCGATGACAGGAACAATAAAGCTATAATAAGAGTTCTTTTGTTAATGGTCATCCAACATGGCGGCGATGACTTCAGTTGTAAACTTGCAGTTTGCAGCTTGGTTTTGTCATTGTTCGCAGATCTAAAACGGAACTCTGAGAATAAATAATAAGTAATAAGCAAATATTAATAAATAAATAAATAATAAGTAATAATAAGTATGAGAGGTAATTGTGGTAAAGTGAGTGACTGAACCTAGTCAATTCATTTAAAGGGCATGTAAACCCAAAAATACAAGTTTTTCTTATTCGACGCAAACAGCAACGAAGAAAACGAATTTGGCATTTATTTTGCTCGTTTCGGTCTCGTTAAGGAGAAAAACAGCCTTTACGAGAAAAAATCCACTTCCGGTGAAAACAATAGCCGTCTGCTGTGACGTAAGCGGTGGAACACAAACATTGCGCAATAGGGATTCCATATGAGAATTCTATGGCGGATCGGGAAAGTGGGAGTAGCTCGGAAGATCTTTCATCGGATGACAGCGATTCAAATTTGGTGAATTTGTATGATAGTGATGTAGAAAATTCAGTTGTAGCTGTGGAACAATCTGGGCCTCGTCCGTATCAATTTGAGCCACGAAGGGTCCGACAAAACGATCAGCAAGAAGCAAGCCCAGAACCAGATGACAACAACTCAGACCGTCTTGGAAACACAGACTGGTATTTAATCATGTTGCAATAAAATTACATTTTTAGCAGATGAACATCAATTGAAGCCGGCGCAGAGTCAGGTTAGCACGCAAATAGAAGCTTGCCAAGTTTTGTTGTTGTCTTTTTCCCGACCTTTCTTGGGTGGATTTAAAGGTGCGAGTGTCAAGTATGTCAGTCAATGCCGACTGCTCACGAAAGTGTTTGTTGCCCTGAAATCGGACAAGTCTGGCAAAAAGTAGAAAATCAGAAGCCAGAAATACAAATGAAATGTATCACCGAGCATCCCGGATTTCAGTCAACCTGTCTTGAAGTTTAGGGTGCTTGAAACTGCTTATTACGCATTCAGGCAGCAGCACGGCGCAGATAATCACACAGGTAACGAGTATGCTCACTTCTATTTTAACTATCGCGGTTCAGTTGTCAGATTTACCTCTGCCGTAACTGGTTTTATTTTAGTACTACACAAGTGAAGATAGTTATTTCTCTGTATTTTTCGTGCAGGAGATTTCGATACATTGCCTATCGGCAGCTTGTTCGTTGGTGCTGGGGTTATCTTGGTAAACATGTCCGAGTTGCGTTGCCATCTTGTGCTGTAAACAAGATCCGAAGCACCTTTCCAGCCGATTTTGGCACCATGTATACTGGGTTGAAGCCACCAACCCTGTGAGGGATAAG